AACAATTGGCTCATGAATGATCTGACCTCATTCATGCATTAATCCATTTGATGGGTTAATACTTTTTAATGGGAAATCATAAAAATTATAGGCAGGTGGAGCATGGCTGGAGGAAGCAGATCACTGAGGGAATGGTCTGGAGACTATCTCCGTCCCTGGCCATTTCCTATCTCCATTTTCTGACTGCAGGAGTTGAGCAGCTCTCCTCCACCTTGCCTTTCTGCCATGATGTCTCTGCCTTGCAGCCAGCCCACCTTGGACTGAACCGCTGAGCCCAAGTAAGTCTCTCCTCATCTAAATTGTTCTTGTTGGGTGTTTTTGTCACAGTGATAAAAAACTAACACAAATAGGCATTCATTTACTTAATTTTAGTAGATATGCCCAACTACCTTGTAAACAGTTGACCTAACATAACACTCACATCATGTACTAAACATGACAGAAAAAAAAAACACTTTGGGGACTGTGGTGCAGACAAAGAACTTTTCCTGAAGCTTTGATTTCCTTTGACACAAAACTGGAACATCTCTAAGTGCCCAAGAGGATATAGAGCCTTGTTGGAAAACCAACTTGGAAATCACACCATGGAGTTTCAGAGCCCTGTGTTCTGGAAGAACTCAGGTGAACCCCAAAGGTACCTCACAGGGACCCCCAAATTTAGAAGGAACTGGAAAATCCTTTCTATTCCTACTCTCCCCTGCTCCCAAGTACACTCAGCATTGGGTTCATGAAATTCAAGGTTCCAACTTCAGATGTCTGCAGGGTCAGAAGGCAAGGTGATGATGTCAACTGGCCAGGAAGAGACTAACTTACAAGAAAGAACACGGTAGGAGCTGCACATCCCTCCAGGCTGTCGGCAAGATCTAGAGGTCAGGGGTAGCTCACCGTGCTCCCTTTCCCCCTGCCATATCTCCTCCTCCTTCTCCCTTCCCCATATCACTTTCCTAAGCTCATTTTTTACTCTGATGTTGAGCATGAGAGAAAGGTTCATTCACATAGGTAATAAATGAACCCCTGACTTTGGAAGAGGGGTAATTAGTGCCCATTATCACTTGGGCTAATGAGATCAGAGTGGCGCTGTCTGTCCCCAACGTGCCTAATCAGGAATTTAAATTAAGAAGTCCCACTCTCTGTGATTAAGGAGATAGTCACTGAAACACTGCACTCCTAATCCCTTTGTATTTCCATTCACCAGCTCAGTATCAAATGTTTTATGACACTGAAAATATGCTTGGTTTTAAAAGGAACAGATGCCCAAATCTCCTTGTGCTCATTTAGAGAGACAACCTGATTTTTCTTTATCTGCGGTGTTATCAGCCAGGATTACAAACAGACCCAGAGACACACAAGTGATTCTAACTGGATTTTGTTGAAATTGTTTCTTTATGAGATCTATAAACAGAGCTTTAACGAAAATCCCATTGCCATGGGAAAAAGAAAGGGTTAGACACAGAAGGAGGTAGAAAGGAATATGTCTACATTCCACTGTCATAAAACTCCTCATTTTATCTGGACAATCACTCTAGCAGGGACAGGAATAAAATGCCCTTGTATTATCTAAAAAACACAATTTAGCAAAACTCCCATCAACTCCTACTCTGTATCTGATCTTTTCTAGACATTGTTGCATGACTGCTTTGGAATTGAGAGCTTCTCATCATAGACACCAGGAAAGTAAAAGGAGAATTATTTCCACAAACATGGAAATACTATTGGCAACAAATACTAACAATAAAAATAGTATAAAGAATATATAATGCTCTTCTACAAGTAAGAAAAAAAATCAAGCAAAAAGTGTCAACAGTACACAAAGAGAAAATCCAAAGGGCCAATAAATATATGAAGAGATGCTAACCTTCATTGAAAATTAGAGAATGCAAACTAAAATCCCCAGATACTATTTGACAAGTACCAGAATGGATAAAAAGAAACCAGCAATAGCAAGACATAGTGGGAATGTGGTACAGAAGTGGATTTGCTTATTATGGTTGTGAAAAACTATTTGGTATTACATAATCAATTTGAGCATAAGCATACTCATAACCAACCACTCCAAATTTTCATTTCAACTACCCACTCTTAGAAAGCTCTTGAAAATGTACACCAGTATTGGACACCTACTTATAGCAGTGATAGAAAGTCTGAAAATCACCCAAATGTCCATCAACTATGAGTTGACATTTTTGCGGCATGTTCACACAGTGGAATCCCCTGCAGTGGGTGAGAAGAGAATTAAAGTGACAAGATATAACCCGTGGGAGACCAACCTAGCACTTGACTGAGTTAACTCCCCTGCTGGGCGATGTGGCATCAGGCACCCATGCTGCTAGACTGCCCCGCTCCTCTAGGGTTCAAGTGACTGTGTCTTCATGCCTGAGCATGTCTTCCTACAGCCCCATGGGTGGAGCTACACTCACCTGTTCCTTTGTAATATAACCCCTTGCCCTGTTTAGGATAGAATGTTCCATGAAAGTGCCTTGTGTGTGTGTCCCCTTCTCTTACTGTGCCCTTGGGTGTGGCCTACCCAGGTGTCAGTCAACCTGCTGACAGTGGACATCATGAAGATAGACTCAGCCCCCTGAAACCTGACCCCTTGCCTCATTTGAATAGCTTGTCCTCAATAAAAGGGGTCAGTGCATGCTCTCTCTCTTTCTCTCTCTTCCTGTGGACCCTTAAGGTCAGAGGAGCCATCACAATGACCCAAAATAAAAAGGTAATTGTGTCTCTTGTGTGGTTATTTTGTGAAGCCCAGTCAGCCCAGTTTACCTGGAGTGAACCCTGAAACCTAGCAATAACCTACGAGCCTGAGGGAATGAATGCTAAAGAACAAAAGTAAAATAAGTCATAGAGCGTGATTTTGTTTCTATGAGGTTTTAAAATATGCAAAATTAAGTCATATAGCAAAATCCATCCATCCGACCTCCAAATTCTTTATTTATAACGCAAACCTGTCAACTTTCATGCAGAGTGGGGGCAAGTGGGAGTAGAAAAAAGGGAAACTAGAGTGGTCACAGGTGAAGACTCATCCATGAATCACCTGGTCCTTAAGACAAGACAGAGGTATCTATGGAGTGAACCGTAGTGCGTTAGGAAGCAGGGAGAAGAGATGGCAGCCACTCACATTTCAACAAATCATACCCAGGAGGTTAGTTCAAAGGTTTTTGCCACTTCTGCTATGAGAAGACGCTGTAATGTTTGGATTCCATTAACCAGAGCTGAAGCCTGCAAGCTGTTGGGGCCAGCTGGTTGAGAGGAGCGTACCTGTGCAGGACCAGCACCCAGATGATTTTGCCTGCGTCTACTCCTGGACTCCCAGGCTTACACTGGTTCACAGTCAAGTTTCCCACTCACTCCTAGTATCAAAGTTCATCCTTCCCCCCCTCTCCAGGAAGGACACATAGAGAAGAAACAAGTCGGCATCCAGCACCTGCTATGGTCTGGACATAACACACAGGACCCCATCTAACCTCACGGCAGCCAGTGCAGTAGTTACAGTAATACTCTTATTGATAAGGACATCGATGCTCAGGGATGTCAGGCAAAAATGCTCCTTGATTTTTAATGGGGTTATGTCCCAATAAATCTGGGGTAAGCTGAAAATATGACAAGTTCAAAATGCATTTAATACACCCAATGTACCAAACCTCGGCAGACTTATCTGCTGTCCTCCCTTAAGATGAAGTGGCTGACTGGGAGGTGTGGCTCACTGCTGTGCCCAGCATCTCAAGGAAGTAACCCACCATTCATCACAGGCCCAGAAAAAGAGCAAAATCTAAAGTACAGTTTCTCCTGGATGCTATTGCTTTTTACACCACTGTAAAGTCAGAGGACCGTAAGTCGAAACAGCCTAAGTCGAATCCATCTCTAACTTGCCTTTGGCCAGAAAGTGACCAGACCAGGCTTCAAACCTATTTTTGCCAGTAACAACACCCCATAAGCATCCTGTTTGGCTTCAAAAGCATCTTCAGCCGTGCTAACCATTAGAGGCCACGTTAAATAATAACCGAGAGAGGTATAGTCGGCATGGAAAAGAAAATCGAAGGGTATACGATGTCATGTTTTCTCAGTTATTAGAATGAATGGCTTCTGGCTACTGGAAAACCAGTGTCCTCAAAACATAACAAACTAGAAGAGAAAACGCATGCATGCACTCCTAGGAGATTTTGTTATAGGACGAAAATTGTAAAGGGAGATGGGGGTCCCCATCTGGGTCCCTTTCAACCCAGGGCTGAGAAAGAAATAGGCCACAAAACAATATGGGTCTTCAATAAATTCTATCCTCTTCATAAATTTTGAGGTGGACAATACTGTATTATTGATTGTAGATGGTATGTTGTACAGCAGATTTCTAGAACTTAGTGCACTAGAAAATTTGTTAAGAACATCTTGTGGTTTTTAGCACAATAAATAAAATGATGGTCTGGACATAATATATCGATTACACTTCAATAAACATGTTCGAGAAAGAAATTCCCCAAACTAACTTTTGTAGGGACAACAAGAAGACATTGATCTCTCCATGTATATCGGGGCTACAAAACCATCAACCACTGAGCTTTCTATCCCAATCCCTCAAAGTAAATCCAAGTACCTCAGCCAGCTCTCACCCCTTCTTCTTAGAGAAGTTAATAAATTAGCCATCAGAGGCTGTTTCTGTCTCCCTGCTCACCCAATTAATGCTAACCTACTGGGGATGAACACAGGGTTCAGGCCAATGTCCGGGGAAGGTTAAGAGAATTCCAATTAATTCCTCAGAAACCAACCCTCCTTTGACAGATGTATCTGCAGAAAGCCTCTGCATTTATTTTAACCAAACAAATCTGTAACATTGATCTAAAGTCTTTAGGAAAAGGAGCCTTCAGCCTGGATGGACTCAAAGAAGATTGTATTAAGTGAACTAAGCCAGGCACAGTAAGACAAATATTGTATGATCTCACTTAGCTGTGAAACTAAGAACACTGATCTCATAGAAGCACAGAATGAACAGTGGTCATTAGGGACAGGAAGGATGGGGAAGGGGAGACATAGGGAGGTGAGATATCAGATACCAGAATGGAGTTAGACGGGAGGAGTGAGTTGTAATGTCCTGCAGCCCAGCAGGGTGAGTACACTTTGCAAAAATTTTGTAGATATTTTATAAAGAATGACAAGAGAGGAGATCAAAGGTTCACAGCACAAAGACATATTAACCATTTAAAGAGAGGAAAATGTTAGTTACCCTGATCCGCTCATTACACATTGTATACATGGACTGAATTATTACACTGTAACCCCTGAATATGTACATTTACAAGTCAATTTTAATAAAAAAAAAAAAAGCAGCCTGTCATCTTCTCAGGCCAGGTACTGTGGGTTAAAGTCAGTCTTGGTAGCAAGGGGTCTGACAGGAATAGGGAAGCAGGTTGGAGGGCTTCCCACCGCCTATCCAAGCACCAAAGTCCACTCAACACTCACTTCCATGATCAGCCAGTTTCTCTGCAATGCTTATCCCCAAACATTGCTCATTGCTAAAATGTATGGGGTGTCCATTCTACGCCAGGCACTATGGTATCCTGGGGAGAGTTAGCACTGTCTCTGGGGCTAGGTTGCGCAGACTGGAAAAACTCAGCCTTTTTCTAACTGTGTGACCGTGATCAAGTTGCTTAACTTTTCCAAATCTCAGTTTCCTTATCTAAAAAATGATAATAATAATAATAATAATAATAATAATACCACCTCTATACAGAGAAGGATTATAGAACTGAAGCCCCTGAGGCAATGCCTGCAAAAAGGAATCTCAATAGATATCAACAATTATTGAGGATATTACTAGTCCATCTGAAGAAACTAAGACTCCAAGAGGTAAAATCACCAACCAGGGACAGACAGCTCACTGCTTGAACAGCAGGATTTCAAACATACCTGCAGATAGGGTCCAAGCTGGGAGGTCTCTTCCTCTGAATTTTGGTTTCCCTTCGGTTTGTTCACAGGTCATCTGCCTGAAACAGAGGAAGGGAGCCCTCACTTGCAGACTCTCTCCTGACACCCTGGAGAGGAGAGCCTGTCTCCACAAGGTTCAGCACCTACAGGACAGGTGCTCACCCATGGGACATGCTGGCAGCCCCCATGAACAAGGTCACTGCCTGGCCATAAGCAGGCACCTTCACCCACCTGCCAACCCCAGACTGGCTCAGCAGATCACAGGGCTCCACCCTGGAACACCTCCAGGGAGCAGGCTTTCTCAGCAAAGTCTGGGCCCCCATTTCAGAAGGATATGGTAATCTTTGGGACCATCCAGAGGTTATGAAAATCCACTTTGGGTAATATAAACTCTTTAAGAAAAAAAAAATTGGGAGTCTGAAGGATTCCTATTATCCTCCAAATTTCAATATAAGCTCCGTTTTTCCATAGAGTTGTTCACTTTTAGGATAGTCTGAGGTCACAGGGAGGAAGCCTGATGGTTCCTATCCAGTCAACTGTAATGTCCACATATTGGTTGTGGTCCTTGTGAGAAGCAGCTACAGCAACCCCGACTCCACAAGTTTGGAAGGAAATCACTCTCCAGTTAACATCAACCTCAAAGGCTAGGAATGGCCCCCAAAGACCCCACTTTCCTTTAATAAACTTCATGTTTGGAGATCATACATTTATGCCAAGTACATGGTGCTATCATCCCTCCAGTCAATGACATTTGTGAATCTCCTTCTCACATCCAGAAGAGACCAGTTTTTTCAGTGCCCCCCTCCAGCACCTTTCTTGATGGTAAGAGTCAACAGCATCCTATCCCAAGCTCACAGGGGAGGATGCCGAGTGAATCATGGTCAGCACAAGGGAAGAATTCTACCCTCTGCACATTAGCTCTTCAGCTTATCTTTGAAGACCTACTTTAGGTTCCTTTTTTATTTTTTTTCCAGAAAGCCTTCCACGGCCTATAGGAGCACCCAGAAATGCTTACAAAGAGCCTCAGCTGCCCTTGTTCTTTACTCTTCTGTGATAACAACAATTTAATGCTTTATTATTTCATAGATGAATGCTGACAGCTATGTGCCTCGTGTTCTAGAGCTTGCTGCTCAACTTTGATATCTGTCTTTTCACTTTGATTGTAGGCTGGGCATGGTGGCACACACCTGTAATCTCAGCAGCTCGGGAGGCTGAGACAGAAGGATTGCAAGTTCAAGGCCAGCCCCAGCAATGTAGCAAGACCCTAAGTAACTCAGTGAGACCCTGTCTCTAAATTTGAAAAAAAAAAAAGGCTGGGGATGTGGCTTAGTACCCCTGGGTTCAATCCCTGGTACCAAATATATATATATATGTAATAACAGGAATAGGTAAGCAAGTGGGGGGACTTCCCACTACCTATCCAAGCACCAAAGTCCACTCACCACTCACTTTCATGATCAGCCAGTTTCTCTGCAATGCTTATCCCCAAATATTGCTCATTGCTAAAATGTATATATGTATGTGTGTGTGTGTCTATATATATATAGACACACACACACATACGATATATATAATTTTATATACATATATACACACATATATAAAATTGACTGTAAACTGTAAACTCCCTGGGGAAGAGGTGCCATCCCTTTTCACCATCATTCTCCATAGGCTCCACTGCCTGCCATGGCTTATGATGCAAAACTTTAGTTTGGTATTTCCTGATGTCACTCAGACATGATGCCACTTGTGTTTGTGTGTTGCCAAGCTTAGGGTAATTTTGTTAGCTTTTGTGAGTACCATTAAGGGGTGACGGAAACATAATGTAACTGTAATATCCAGGCTGGAGTTTCTGGTTGGACCAGTGAGTGGCTCTTTCTCTTCCTCTGATAAGCCAGGAGACTCTGCTCCTAAAAATTGAGTAGAGCCAAAGATAAAATGAAGAGGGCTGTGTCTGGTAGTTGCTGGTGTGGATTTCATAAGGACAAGTTTAAGGTATCTACACTGACTACTTCCGGTGGCTGGGGTAGAGTTGTATTGTTACTGTGGGTCATTTGATAACTCTCTCTCTCCAGCTTCTGCATCTGCAATAGACCCAACTGCTTCTGCCATTCATGGTGCCCCAGCCCAAGCAATAGTCTGGTTCATTGTAATTTCATTGGTTAAGAGATGGTCTAAACAGAGCCAATCCAAGTTTAATATGGAGACATTAAAAGGGATGCATTTATCTTCTTCCAAGGGGGTCCTATATTGGGGTCACTGAATCCTGTATCTGTTAGCAGCCATCTACCATTGCCCCATGGAAGGATCTTGTTCATGTGATTATAGGATGAACCCACAGAGGAAAACAAAGCCAAGTAGTGGAGGAAGAAAGAGAGCCCCAGTCCCCGATTTCTGACACACAGAACTCATCTCACCCCTGGACTCCAACTTCATATGAATTATTTATTAAGAGTCCCAATTTAATATGAATTATTTATTCCATATCGATGCATTTGTCTGTTTATTCAACTATTTTTGTCCTGATATATTCTACATAAAGTCAGTAATCAAACTACTACACCTCCATTCCACGGATGAGAACACAAAGGCCCCTATTGAGGCAAATCACCATGGAAACAAAAAACCAGGTCCTCCAGCCACCCGTCCAATGCTCCAGTTCCCAGAGCCATTCATAATTTGGGGTTCTGCCACTGCAGAAAAGAATCCTGACAAACACAACACAGAGGACTAAGAAGAGCCGAAAGTGGACTCCAGAAGAATATGAACTGTATCTGTCTTACTAATACTGTATCCCCAGCTGGATAATTATTCAGTAAACAAATGAACAAGTCTCTTAGGAATTCTAAACACCTCAGCAGGAACTGGCCAGCAGAGAAGAGGGAAGAGGCTTTGCAGGCATCTGAACTGTCACCACTTACTCTCTGAATAAGAGTGCCCATGACTTCTCCTCATTCTAATCTACTCCATGATATTTTCAAGATGGTCCCCCTCAACTCATTGATTAAATATTCCGACTTCCTAACCTAACTTGTTCTTGGCGATTGACGTTAGTTGTTAACAACATGTTGTGATTACAATGTGTTTTGATTTCTCCGTGGACTTTTGTTTCCAAGACGTTTGGGGTTCTTTCTTTATCCCTTCACATTCACAAGCTCACCACCCATTCTGAGCACACCTCAGACCTTCGTCACACTGCAAAGGAGTTTTCTGGTAGGATGTTCCTTAGATGTTTTAAAATAACTTCCGTTCCCCCAAAGTAGAATCCCTCATCCTGGTAACTTAGCAACTTGACAAAATATTTCTAGAAGCAAAAAAAAAAAAAAAAGCAGCAGGAAAGAATTGGTCTTTTGTCATACTTATTTACCTGCAACAAGTGTGTTACTTACAGATAAGCAAAATAAACAGAATTTCCATCACACACATATCCTCTATGGGTGTTGACAGGGATGTTTGTAAACAAATCAAGCCCGGGGAATCCAGGTACACAAGAAGAGCCTAGCCAATGTGCAATACATCTAAATTCCTTGGTGAATTTTTCACTCCTACTCCGTTCATATAAAACACTGGAGACTTTGAGAGAGAGAAAATACTCCACATAAATTTTAAATGATGGTCTTTTTCCTATACCTTGGCAGAAAGAATGGAGTACCAAAGCAAAAAAAATGATATTTTAGGCACTAGTGTACCTAATAGAAATTAAAAAAAAAAAAACGCTTGGAGTTAAGAAAAACATGAGGAGAATGTTCCCTGCTTTTTAGGTCTGCAACCAATTCCCTAAATGGCCTTCATTAATGAGACGCTGGATCAACAGTAGTCATGACGAAGCAGCACAGAACATGAGGCTAACACTGGGAAGCAGATACTCCTGACAATAATGTCTCTAGGCAGTGATGTGGCTTTCAAGTTCACAGATCTTTTCTGATGTGTTTCAATTCTGTCCGTGATTATCAGCCAATGAGATTAAACATGCCATCTAAATATGTGCTCAAAACCCGATAGCATTAATAAAACCACCCCAGGAGGTCTGCAGATGAGTCCAGGGTAAACACCACAAATTCCTCCCTCTGACACCCAAGCGCTTGAGTTCCTCTCCCAGCCCTGGCTATTCTCCTGGGGCATGTTCCGCAATCATACCTCAGGTTCATCTGTTAAACCCTGGGCAAATATATCTTGGTATAAATGAAATTCTTAGACTTTTTAAAATCATTCTTCAAATATTATAATCACCTATAAAACTTGTTTAAAATGATCCGTGGGAGTCCCCATCCACACAAGTCCTGATTCTATGGTGGGCTGTGGGATTCCGGAATCTGCATCTTGATAAGAGACTCAAAAGATGCTGGGGAGTCCACAGCACAGTTCGAGAAACCCTCCTGTAAGGTGCCACCAATCTGTTTTCTCTTCTGCAGAGGGTGGTAAAAATCTGTCTTCATGTTGGATCACAAGGTGAGTTGAGATCTAACTTCCATATTGACTACAAAACAGTAAGTATTGTAATAATGGAATGGGAATCGGGTGCCCACTAAACCTTCACATTTCAGCACAAGAAGAACTGGCAGATGTCCCTTCGCCAGAGACTGAGTTAGAAAGGTTGGTCAGAGGGGTGAAAGAACAGATTTCACGTTCTCCATCCTCCTTCCCATCAGGAGTCTTTTTAAGCAGCATGGAGAGAAGGATCTGTTCTGTTTTCTGAATGTGTCATGGGAAGCCTTTCCCATTCCATAAATACTTCTATTAGCAAATCAAATAAGCTGGAGAAGCACTTAGGCATAATGCCAGGAGAAAAATCATGCCAGCGTTGTTTCACTTCGTTAATGTTATTAGTAAATTATTAATTGCCACTATCAACAAGTTCTACTTAAAGAGTGTCTCTCTCTACTGAAGCTACAGAAAATGAGCTGTAGAGAGTAAAGCAGCGTAAGACAAGTCCAGGGAGGCAGACAGGAATCAAAAGATGCTAACTGCTCAGACTCCGGAATCTAACAATACTGAATGTGCCTCCTAGTCTTCTCATTGACTAATTTATTACCCTGAGCAAGTTACCTAAGTGCTCAGAGCTACCATTTTCCCATCTGTATAATGGGACTTCTAGTGGTACCAATATCAATGGTGGTTGTAAAAAGTAAGGGGCTGAGCAACAGGGTCCCAACTTAATATGAATTATTTATTCCATATCTATGCATTTGTCTGTTTATTCAGCTATTTTTTGTCTTCTACATAATGTCAGTAATCAAACTACTACCTCCATTCCACAGATGAGAACACAAAAGGCCCCTGTTGAGGCAAATCACCATGGAAACAAAACACTCAGGTCCTTCGGCCACCAGTCCAATGCTCCAGTTCCCAGAAGCCTCCTTGGCGGAAGGTCACCCTGGTGTCCATACAGCAAGAGGAGGTGGCTCAGAGCAAGCTGACCTGTGCCCACCTTCGGGGGACAGACCATCACAGAAGAAAAGTTACAGGTCTAGATTCCATTTCTTTCTATGCACTCATGTATTCCTTCAATGATTCCTTTTACAAATATTTATCCAGGTCTTTTTCTGTGCCAGGCACTGGGCATCAGGGAGTAAAGCAAATCAGATGGTCTTTGTTCCTCTGTCATCTCATCAAACCAGATTGCCTGACCAACCACTCTGTCCCACAGAGCAGCCCCAGTCTTACTTCCCTGCATTCTCTTAGGGAGAAAAAAAAACACATTA